AACTTAATGTGAAAAACATGTGGACCAGCGAGAGTTCTTACTGCGCCATTATGAATATCCTAGTCATTCATTTATCTTCTGCTGTGTGCTCCTCATTCCTACTGTTCTGAAACCGGGGATGCAACACTGACATTTCTCCACAGTGGGAAAAATAAAGGATCTTTTCATATTAAAGATATCAAGGAGGATTGTCGCAAATTCTCTCCACTTTTTGAAAAATCTCTCTGGTCTTGTCTGACGAGGACGTATCACCAGAATGATTGACAATGAGCAGGACCAATAGCCTTCATGATCCACCCGGAAGTAGAGAATCCTCCCATATAGCAACAGTGGCTCAGTTGGTAGAGCATTGGCCTTTGGGCTCAAAGGTCGTGGGTTCGATAATAAATATGGTGCTTTTTTTTCATCCCCATGTGTCACTATTTGACCCTTTGGACCAAAAGCTAATTGACTGAATGAGGGTGGTCCTCTGAAAAACCTGGTCTACGGATGTGACAGAAGCAAAATAGCAAGAAATATGCAAAAAATATTGTTAGATCCAGACTTTGAGAGCAAGATGCAAGTTACATTGATTTTGAACAATGTATGCGTCAAATCCCAGTTTTTCCGTTCAGATGTGATTATCCACCTCCATAAGAGCGTCTGAGATCGGCAACAAACTTTTAAGCAAAGTGCCGGTCCGCTTCTAAAATGGAGGGTTAAATGGGCCGGGCCAAAAACATACTCACAGTCACATTACATATACAGACTTTCAACTCTTTCACCCTGACTTAGCATTACTTTATGTCAAAGCCATTATTTCAAAGAGCATCGCACTTATTCTAATACGATCTTTTGGAAATCGCAGCCTGTGGAGAGTTTGCTGCATGGATTTAAATGTATTATGTCCAAGTGTTTCTTTATAAATGTTGAAATGGAACCTTTTCTGGCACTACATTAAAAACAACACGCAAGAGGAGGCATGTCCAACCTAGGGCCCGTGGAACAAAATGCGGCCCTCTGTGCTATTATATGTGGCCCTCTGCCTTGCTAACACAAAGTAGACTTCACTGTGTCATCCAGCCAACTTCACCTCGACCAATAAAGACATTCTGGAATCCATTTGTTTACTTTGGTACAGACAGACCTGTGTTTTGGGCACGTATCACCAGAATGATTGACAGTTGGAAGGACCCATAGTCTTGATGATCCACCCGGAAGTAGAAAATCCTCCAATATACCTTCAAGACTCCTTCTTCCGTGAGTTGTGTGGTCTTCTGTTTTATCTGATTATTTTCTTAATCGTTTTCAGGATAACTGGTATTTTTTTTATGAATTTTATAAATTTGTATTGTTTTTGTATGTATTTTATTTATTTTTTTACATATAAATCTGGCAAACCTGTATATTTAAATGTGTTACTTCTCTATGCAGCACTTTAAAAATGTGCTGTATAAATAATAAAAGATAAAAGCGATTGGATTGGATCAGTCCATTTTTAGCGGTGTGTAAACTCCTGCCGTGAGTTCGGACTCTCTCCCATCATCACCTTCCTCGGCCTCCTCTCCCGGGATCAGAGATGTTTCGTGTCGAGGGAGAAGGGTTTCAGTGAGTCGTCCAGAATCAGACAATAACCTGCCATCATCGCTCAACTCCAAACACTCTCTCTCTCTTTCCAATTCTTCTCTCTTTTCTCTTTTCTCGCAACTCACTCAATTTCAATCACTCTCCATCCTCTTTTCTTATCCACTTCCATTCTCTTGATATTCACTTCCTGTCTCTTTGCTGGGTTTCCATGCTTCTGTTCCTTCATTTCTTTCTAGTCACTCGAGCCAGATCCAAACACTTACTTGCGTTAATTAGTTTTTGTATAAACAGGAGCTTATATCGAAAAGGTCGACATATTTGCTGATCCAGAACACTCAGGATTAGCATTTCAAACCTTGGCACTTGAAACGTCTGTATTGAGAAGAAGAGAAAAACGTGTTTCTCTAAGTCTTAGTGCTGCCATCTACAGGCCACACGAGAGAATAGTATGTTATATGTTCAATGAGTTTTTACATGCTTTTGTTTTGTATGTATCCAATTGTGTTTTCTTTTCCTTTGGTGTGTGTGAAGCACTTTGGAAAGCTGGGGTTGATGTAAATGTTGTCTACAAGTACCATGTGACATACCAGCTGACATTGACAATCAAGCAAGAACACTATCGTACGCTAAACAATTATACAACAGAATGTTCAGATCCCAGTTTAATGTTGATGAATGGACAAATTCTACTCCAATGCCCAGGCTGACAGGCTGGCAATCTCACTCCTTGCTGGTGGGGGTGCACCTGGAAGAAGAATTACCTAAGGTTTTTGTAAGCATCTCTGTTCCTCTTGAAAAAGTTTTTACAGGATGGTCTAAAAGTCGTTCTTTGTCCAACGCTGCGTTCCAGATGCTGTCAATGCTGAGGGGAGTATATTTTTGGACCAGTCTAGTTTAGCTGCTGTGGACTTCAGAATGCACTGGTTAAATTAACGGGGCTAATGCCGGCTAATGTATGCTCAAATGTGTTTTTCTGTCCACGCGGCCATTTTGAAAAAGCCCAAAAGCAAAAGTGGTGGGACATTAGTTTGAACGCCGGTGATAGGCGTGACTATGTCTGTTAATATTTACTGTCAATGGTCTCTCTGTGAGTCTCTCTGCTTCCGTGAGGCTGTCCAGTGCAGGAGTGAAGAGGCTCCTCTGCACTGTTCAGCCCACAGGTTTGGGCTTGGAGAGAAACTGAGGCCCAGAATTACACCGTCCTCAATTTCAATTTCTAAAGTATTTTGACCATTGCACACTTGACTTCAGACAGAGCAGCAGGGGAGCCGCATTGGCAGTGCTGCGGTTGCACATTAGTCGACTGAGAGTCCAAAGTTTGTTCTGTGACTGTCTTAAATAATTCATATTTCAATTTTGGCTTGAAATAAGTTACCCAAGCTTCAATAGATATAGGTAGTATATAAAAAAAAATGTCATTCCTCTCTCCTCTGAGCTCCCTTCTGTCCCTTTATCCGCCACATCTCTCCTCTGTGCCTTTGTATTCACTGCATTCCCTCCCAATAAGGTGTGTCTGCGGCGGCCACTCCAGAGGGACGCCGCTGAACGGGCAACTCTATCGTCTTGTTGTGACTTTTCAAATCCCCGTTCGATTTCCTCCAAACGGCAGCCGACGATTCAGCAATATGAGGAAATGTAATGGGCCTGACTCCTAAACAGATTTGCATATATTCAGCTCATAATCTGGAGTAAACAAATACTACTGCGTGTTGTGTTTGTCGTCCTTTGAAAGTAACCTCCGATCGGCTCCACGGGGAGAGAGGTCCACAGAGACGCTCACAATGTCCCGATGGTTATTTACCAATCTGTGGTGTCACCTTCAGGAAACACACAGCGCTTTGTGAGAGGCAAAAAAGTTAGAGTTTAGTTTCAAGTTTGAACTTTCTTGGTCTATCTCAAGACAATAAGAAAGTTCAAAGTTCATGCAAGAACAACATCAATATAAGATGGATCCTGGCATTGAACGTCAAAAAGTTTTCACACATTCTGTTTGATGATTTTAAAGTATGACTTACTATTCACAGCATTCTTTTTACATTTATATCTAACTGTTATGTAGAATATTATTTACAGCGATTAGAATCCATCATCACTAAAATTATGTTTTCTCCAACTTTTAGGACCACACATCACTGCGTCTGAAATGATGACTCACACCCAAGCCCCGGCGATCCAAGATGGCGCCCTATTCAAATGAATGGTTGTGCTCAGTGGCGCTTTGTGACGGCATGGGGGCTGAAAGATTAGCGGAAGTCGCCTGAAACTCTCAAAGATCTATGGGAAACTCTCAAAGATCTATGGGAAACTCTCAAAGATCTATGGGAAACTCTCAAAGATCTATGGGAAACTCTCAAAGATCTATGGGAAACTCTCAAAGATCTATGGGAAACTCTCAAAGATCTATGGAAACTCTCAAAGATCTATGGGAAACTCTCAAAGATCTATGGGAAACTCTCAAAGATCTATGGGAAACTCTCAAAGATCTATGGGAAACTCTCAAAGATCTATGGGAAACTCTCAAAGATCTATGGGAAACTCTCAAAGATCTATGGGAAACTCTCAAAGATCTATGAAACTCTCAAAGATCTATGGGAAACTCTCAAAGATCTATGGGAAACTCTCAAAGATCTATGAGAAACTCTCAAAGATCTATGAAACTCTCAAAGATCTATGAGAAACTCTCAAAGATCTATGAAACTCTCAAAGATCTATGAGAAACTCTCAAAGATCTATGGGAGACTCTCAAAGATCTATGGGAAACTCGCCTGTATTTGGGCATCGTCTGGTCCTCCCGGTTCTGTGCAGTGGATGATCTCCCATAATGCGTTGCGTCAAACACGCGTGTGTGGGTCTCACACCGGGTCTCACGCACGTGCACAGAGGGGCTCGGCTCTGACCAATCAGAGCAGTTCATCAGAGCGGGAGTTAGAGCGAGAGCCAGAGGAGCAGAGTTTGTGGCACTAAAGTGTGGATTTAAACAAAACCGAAGGATTTAAGAAGAAAAAAAGTTCAGGATGACAAGGGACACTAACATCCCCACAAAATCTGACCTTTATTAAAGCTGTAGGTTCTCTGTCAGGTTCTCTGTCAGGTTCTCTGTCAGCTGAGGTCGAGCTGTATTAATATGCATTGAGTTCTATGGGGAAAATTTCTGGGTAGCCCACGTGAATTTAGTCTGGTTCAGTCTGCAGTACCGCGAGAATCCCCTGAGCACATGGGTTATTCAGCTACAAGGTAGTAATACCCTATCCAGTTATTATAATAGATCCATGCTCACACCTAGCAACGGGGTCGGCCACGCCTCTTTGCTAAGATATGAGTTCTGCAACATTCTCAAGTTCTCGAGACTCGGACTCCAGGATTATAAAAACAGGAGCCCCACAGGGTTGTGTTCTTTCTCTCCTGCTCTTCTCCCTGTACACCAACCACTGCACCTCCAACCACTGCACCTCCTCCCACTGCACCTCCAACCACTGCACCTCCAACCACTGCACCTCCAACCACTGCACCTCCTCCCACTGCACCTCCACCCACTGCACCTCCACCCGTTGCACCTCCTCCCACTGCACCTCCAACCACTGCACCTCCTCCCACTGCACCTCCACCCACTGCACCTCCTCCCACTGCACCTCCAACCACTGCACCTCCTCACACTGCACCTCCTCCCACTGCACCTCCAACCACTGCACCTCCTCACACTGCACCTCCTCCCACTGCACCTCCTCACACTGCACCCCCAGCCACGACTCTGTGAAGCTGCTCAAGTTCGCGGACGACACCACCCTCATTGGACTCATCTCCAACAACGATGAGTCCGCCTACAGGAGGGAGGTGGACCGGCTGGTGTCCTGGTGTCTCCTACAGGAGGGAGGTGGACCGGCTGGTGTCCTGGTGTCTCCTACAGGAGGGAGGTGGACCGGCTGGTGTCCTGGTGTCTCCTACAGGAGGGAGGTGGACCGGCTGGTGTCCTGGTGTCTCCTACAGGAGGGAGGTGGACCGGCTGGTGTCCTGGTGTCTCCTACAGGAGGGAGGTGGACCGGCTGGTGTCCTGGTGTCTCCTACAGGAGGGAGGTGGACCGGCTGGTGTCCTGGTGTCTCCTACAGGAGGTGTCCTGGTGTCTCCTACAGGAGGAGGTGTCCTGGTGTCTCCTACAGGAGGAGGTGTCCTGGTGTCTCCTACAGGAGGAGGTGTCCTGGTGTCTCCTACAGGAGGGAGGTGGACCGGCTGGTGTCCTGGTGCAGTGGTAACAACCTGGAGCTGAACGCCCAGAAGACAGTGGAGATGATTGTGGACTTCAGGAAGAGCACTGTCCCCCCGCCCCCACCCTCCCTGATGCCCACCCTCCCTGATGGACTCCCCCATCACCTCTGTCCCCCCTCCCTGATGGACTCCCCCATCACCTCTGTCCCACCTCCCTGATGGACTCCCCCATCACCTCTGTCCCCCCTCCCTGATGGACTCCCCCATCACCTCTGTCCCCCCTCCCTGATGGACTCCCCCATCACCTCTGTCCCCCCTCCCTGATGGACTCCCCCATCACCTCTGTCCCCCCTCCCTGATGGACTCCCCCATCACCTCTGTCCCCCCTCCCTGATGGACTCCCCCATCACCTCTGTCCCCCCTCCCTGATGGACTCCCCCATCACCTCTGTCCCCCCTCCCTGATGGACTCCCCCATCACCTCTGACCTCTGACCTTATGACCGTCACTTTACTGCACTCTTAAGTGTCTCTTGTGTGCACCCAGTGCACTTGTGTATACTAAACTGAAGACATGTAGATTTGTATTTATGCCGTCTTGTTTTTATTCTGCTTTAACTTGTTTGCACCAAGAGCCAAAACCATTTCTTAGTTTGTGTGTGACGGGGTTCTGAATGTGAAATAAAATGATGGCGCAGCCAGAGTACTTTTAAAGTTTTATTCCCAAAATAAAGAATAATAAAGTAATTAAGAATAAAGTATTGAAGTATAAAGTATCGAAGTATCGAAGTATCGAAGTATCGAAGAGGAGTGCTGTACCAAAAACAAACCAGTGATTAATAAACATATTTACAGTATTTACAGAAAAAAATTACATTGCAAGAAGGTCTCCTGGCTTACCTCCTCTGTCCCAGTTCAGACTCACACTGACACTGACAGTAGAGGCTGGCCTAGTCTTAAACCCCTCTGGCTCCTCCTACATGTCAATTAAGTCATAAACTTTTAGTTTCTACATAAACCATGATTACGTTCCTAATAACAAAAATATGGAAAAATCCACAATCAACTCCTCTACTGTAGAGTTCTCCTCTGCACCTGTAGACTACAGAGGAAAAATAATAAAATACATTCTCAAAAAAAACCCGAAAAATACGATGACGTCACCAATGACGTCAGACGCAGACGTACGTGCGAGGCGCTCAAAACAGGAAGCGCGGACTGCGCTCGGTTTGCCGGGTTGGAGTTTGGTGGGGAGACGGATACTGAGTGGAAACTTTATGGAGTGCAAAACTATGGATGGGAATGGTTAACCAGAGGCCTAGTGTGCACCCAAGACAACTGGGATGAATTAATGAACGAGGATGGGAACGGAACGGACTGACAAGGAACAGGAACGACAAACCGGCAAGTGAGTTAGGTATGTATGCATGTGTGTGTGTGCGGGGGAAGTGCGCACGGACTGGGGAGACTGCCCTGGGCATTGACGGAGGCTGCTCCGTCACAGTGACTTCCTGTTACACACATGGCAATAAAAGGATTCTGATTCTGAATAACTTTTAAGCTAGTTTTTAGGTTAAGCTAGGAGCTCTCTGAGAGGACTCTCAGAATCTTTAGTCATACGGCCCCAGGTCTGATAACAGCAGATGCTCGTTCCTGCCCTGGACACGTGTGTTTGACGTTCTTTTAGACATATTCTCAGTCTAAAAGACTGAGAATAATCCTTTTTTCTCATTAGATGTTCCTCCCTGCTGCACCTCCGACTCCACGGCCATTGATTTTACAAACACACAAAACCCTCTTTTCTTCCCTTCTTTCCAGTCTGGCAGTTTCAGCAACCTATTGGTTTATTGAAATGATATTGTGTTTTGCTGCGGTAATCAGAGCTCGTGCGTAGAGTTGTGCAGGCGGCGGTTATTTTCACTCCACTTGTTGTGTGCTTGCTCCACTGGACGTGTTGTGAAAGGCTTTTCGGTCCATGCCTGGGAAAGGAAGCCTCGGATGATAAGGTGGGGGGGATATCCAGCCCAGTGACTCACAATTGAAAGCAATTTTGAATTATGTGAGAAATGTTATGCAATATTCCCCCGAGACCGAAGAGAAGAAAAGAGAGAAGAGAAGAAAAGAGAAGAGAAGAAGAGAGAAGAGAAGAGAGAAGAGAAGAAAAGAGAAGAGAAGAGAAGACGGCGGCACGGTGGCTGAGTGGATAGCACTCTCGCCTCTCAGCAAGAAGGTCCTGGGTTCGAATCCCGGTCGGACCAGGGCCTTTCTGAGTGGAGTTTGCATGTTCTCCCCGTGTCTGCGTAGGTTTCCTCCGGGTACTCCGGTTTCCCCTACCACTAAAAATATGTCCAATAGTTCTGGCATGCGCCTCCTGTACTGGCACCTCCCATCTCTGTGTGGAGTGAGAGATAAATGCCCAAAATTAACAATTGTAAACCGCTTTGAGACTCAGATCTGCAGTGAAAAGGCGGTATATAAATAAAAACTTACTTACTTACTTACTAGAAGAGAGTAGAGAGAAGAGACGGAGGAGGCCTGAATGCAAAGTCATGTATCATTAGGTTGTCACATGTCTCTACGTCTCTAACAGCAGATTACTTACTTTGGACAAACCCAGGATTGTGAAACTACAGAACTCCCAGAGCAGTCATTTCCACTGCTCTCTTTCAAAGCAATTGATTTCTGAAAATTCCCTCAAAGGTTTGTGAGTTTCCCGTCAGTTTTATTCAAGGTTAATCATATTTATAAGGTTTAACTGCTGAAACCTGAAATGCAGCACAAAGCAGTTAGTTAAAAATCTACAAAATGCAAAGGGGTGAAAACGTTCAGAAATGTACATGAGCCATAAAAGCCGTAACATGGACTGCTCTGGGAGTTTTACTGTGAACACTCCCTGGCTCAACATGGAGGATCTCAACACGGAATGTGGATTAACCAAGATAGTGCTTTGGATTTAGCCTGGTCGTACCACACCATAGTACAAATTACATTTCATACTAAGGTCTGGATTTACTCCATTGACGCCGTGAACAGGTGGGAGGGGTTAACTCCTTTGCAGAGTTTACCGTGACGTATGTAATGAGCCCGAGTCTGTCGTTAGCATTTAGCATTTAGCCTAGCTTTAGCCATCTCCTTTGTCGCTAACGGAGCCCGTGGGGAGTAGCGCCACAATCTTGACCAGAGATTACATTTGCTAAACATTCCTCTTGCTCCGGCTTCAGTTTCTTGATAGAATCAGACCAGAATACTTTACTATCACATTCTTCACCAAACTACAACCGATCCGTTCGACGCAAACTCTTGACGTCACCGGCACCGTCCTACAACCCCCGCCTCCCGCGCTCTCTGATTGGCCGGTCAAAATACGACCGATTGTATTCGCTAACACAGGGACCAGACCCACACGCTACATGCAGTGACATGATGACTGAGCGGAGAGTACGGATGGATAAGGCCAGGCTACTTTGAATTAAACTTAAAGGTATATAGGAGGTTTTTCTATTTCTGGGTGGATCATCAAGACTATTGGTCCTCCTCATTGTCAATCATCCTGGTGATACGTGCTCGTCCAATAAGACCAGAGTTGTATTTGTTTTTTGTTTTAAAAAAGTAGACAGGGCGGTTCTTTCCTAAAATTTGATTTCTGATGTCAAATTAGTATTATCAGCAGCGTTTTACCTTCAGATAAAAATATATATAAAGTCATACATATAGATAGAGTAGGAGAGAGAGAGAGAAGGAGACAGAGATAGAGAGGGAGAGAGAGATAGAGAGGGAGAGAGATAGAGAGGGAGAGAGATAGAGAGGGAGAGAGATAGAGAGGGAGACAGAGATAGAGAGGGAGAGAGATAGAGAGGGAGACAGAGATAGAGAGGGAGAGAGATAGAGAGGGAGACAGAGATAGAGAGGGACACAGAGATAGAGAGGGACACAGAGATAGAGAGGGAGAGAGAGATAGAGAGGGAGACAGAGATAGAGAGGGAGAGAGATAGAGAGGGAGACAGAGATAGAGAGGGACACAGAGATAGAGAGGGACACAGAGATAGAGAGGGAGAGAGATAGAGAGGGAGACAGAGATAGAGAGGGAGAGAGATAGAGAGGGAGACAGAGATAGAGAGGGAGAGAGATAGAGAGGGAGACAGAGATAGAGAGGGAGAGAGATAGAGAGGGAGACAGAGATAGAGAGGGAGACAGAGATAGAGAGGGAGACAGAGATAGAGAGGGAGACAGAGATAGAGAGGGACACAGAGATAGAGAGGGAGAGAGAGATAGAGAGGGAGACAGAGATAGAGAGGGAGAGAGAGATAGAGAGGGAGACAGAGATAGAGAGGGAGACAGAGATAGAGAGGGAGAGAGATAGAGAAAGAAAGTCATAGAGAGAGGGAGAGATATAGATTAAGAGACCAAGAGAGAGAGAGAGATAGAGAGACCAAGAGAGAGAGAGAGGGAGAGAGATAGAGATAGAGAGACCAAGAGAGAGAGAGAGACAGAGAGATAGAGAGACAAGAGAGGGAGAGATATAGATTAAGAGACCAAGAGAGAGAGAGAGATAGAGAGACCAAGAGAGAGAGAGAGGGAGAGAGATAGAG